AATGGTTTCAAAACAACATGAACAACAGAATTTTGGATTTGTCAATTTTTTTTGATGAAGCATGGTTTCATCTAAATGGCTACGTTAATTCGCAAAATTATAGAGTTTGGAATGCTGAAAATCCTTTTGTTTTTGAAAAAAAGAATTCCTTGAGTACCCAGAGCAGTGATTATACTGTACCAAAAAAATTTTGTGATGCCTCAAATTGTAGACGAGCAAGCAAATGTGAAAGATTGTTGTTCATCTAGCTCGTTTTCCAGACTTCATTGGCGCCTTGGATTGCATATGCACATATAAAAATTAAATTACCAGGTATATGAATTTTTGTTAACATAGAACACAAAAAATGAAATAGTAAAAGTTATAAGTGGAGAAGATCCAGAAATTTTTAGAAATCAGGAAGATTATCTCTTGATTAATGTACAAGCCATATGTGATGAAATGGTTAAATTTCAAATATTGTGGCACAATGATCAGTAGCTACAAATGATAGTACTATTTTTAATCATTGTTCAGTTTAAGATCTGTTTGAAAATGCACAACTGCAAAGTTGTGTGCACTTGGATAGAATATTTTAAGAAAATTTTATTATATTATTATATTTCTAAGTAACAAGTTATCCCTTAAAAAAATACTTGTTGACACTGCTGATATATCCCGTTACTCCAGCACAACAGCTCTATTATCAGTGACACATTGGAAGCCGCAATAGAATTGGGTGCACATTTGGGATTCTGAAACGACAGTTTCCTGTGTTAACAGTTGTGATTGTCGCTGTTGTGTTACACAACATTTTAAAACAGATTGTAATATTTGACAGTAAAAATTTATTGGTAATAATTTTTTTTTCTTGATTTCATTTATACAGTTTGTTTATATCGTAGATTTCGATCCGATCGATTTTCGAGACGATCGAAGTTGTCAAACCCACTTTAATCTACGAGCGTTTATATCACGGAAAACAGTCCGTTCGATCCACTGATTTGTAGTTTGAAATTGGTTTGAGTTTGACGTTTGGAGAAAGATAATAGTGTAACCAGTGATGGTGTAACACTAATTTCTTTTTATGTTTGAAGTTGTCAACATAAATACTTAAACCTATAAAAGTTCAAGTCCGTTTACATAGCTTCTTCAAGCATTGGAATCCGTTTTAGATCCGATCGGTTCGATTCAATCCGACTAGTTTGTCGGATCGAATTTTGATAGTGAATCCATTTCAACATTCGATCTGCAGTGTTTATACCATTAGTCTCAATCGGATCGGACTGAGTCGATCGGCTCGAAATCCACGATATAAACTAAGTAATAGTGAAAAACATTAAAATTTATTTATAAACTAACAATATCTCATGTTATTGTAAACATTACATTAAAAATGAGCATCGTTTAATTGAAAAGAGTCCATTTTCAACATACTAAAAATGTATTTATAAACTAACAATATCTCGTGTTATTGTTAACAATACATTAAAAATGAGCATCATTTAATTGAAAATGGACTCTTTAATGTTTTAATTTGAAGTAAGTACGTTTAATTTAATGTCTGGTTTTAAAACCCTTTTCCTAAAATTAAATTCTTCAATTTCTCGTTCCTTCTTTTGTAGTTAACAACTCCTGCCCGAAATATTGGTTTTTTAATTTTGTCACTTCATAACCCTGCTACTGCTGTGAAATTATGTTCCCATGAACAGTCTCCATAACCTTTGCTCTTCTTCCACTAAACCAATTTTTAGTGTGAAGTGTGAAGTTACTGATCTATCAGCTTTTTAAAATTATTTGGTATGTAACACGCCAGTGGTCCTTAAAATAAACAGTAAATTTTCTATAGATAACAATGAAATGTATACTTACTTCTTTTGAGGTTGTTGGTAAATCATGACCACAGAACACTGACTACCACCCTGTTCAACTATGCTTTTCTGTTGAACATTGGAACCAAGACTGTGATGTCATCTTGTACCTAAACACACAGGATTTCCTCTGCATCATCTTGGCTATTTGTTGGTTTAATGCTTTCATTTTCGTCCCCACTATGTGAAATGTACGTCTCCAGTCTCCACAAGTGTTTTGATTTGTGATGTCCGTAACTTAACCAAAACAAGGATCCACTGTTTCAAATACTGGACGTGGTCCTTTGCCAATCTTTCTTCTTTCGGCCTCTTCGTCTGCGGCTGTTTTCCGGTCTTCATTTTTCTTGTTCTCGTACCACTTTTTTTTTAGAATTTTTGTCGCACCAGTAAATGATATCGTCCTTTTTATTTTCTATGGTAGCTTTGGATTCATATTCATAAACTTAATCCATAATTAAAACCTCCTCCGGTGTACAACTGGTTATTCGGCATTTTGTTTTCCATATTTTTTTTTATAAACTGCACGAACACACGAGGCATGGGGGCACGGACACAATTGAGTTTACGTAACACTTCTAAGTGTTAAGTGAAAGCGGTGCAGTTAGGCCTAAACACTTAAAGAGTGTTTTATTTATTTTTGAAAATAACCTCAAACAGAGCATGACATTTAATTAATAGTTCGAATTACTTCGAACCGTATTATGAAGCGGCAACAGCAAAAAATTCATTTGTTTTCAAAGCCAAGTTGACTACAATCATTTATGATGACCCTGTATAATGATAAAGTAAAATGAATCAAGCATTTACATTTTCATAAATTACGTTTGTTTTTGTTATATAATGTTTTAAACTTGCTTTGTAAATAACATACAGCTGGTTGTCACATTTTGTCTATAAATTGATAAAAACCTGTCTTAATAATTGCACTGGTCAAAACAAAGCCACATCTGGAAAATAAAAAAAAATCACGTAAAAATGTAGGCATAATTTTTTTTTATTTTTGCAAATTTTTAAATAATATAGTCACCGTCGCAGATCAAGGTTTTCAGTCTGAATTAATTTTATTAAATTATTCAACAGTCAAAAAATTAGCATATCTAAGACATTTTCCATTCTTTTTCAAATCTGGTTTTATTAGTCCACGTCAAAAAATACTTCTTTATAATTCAATTTCACATTCTGATACTGTTATTTCCGGTGTTCTTGGAGGATCAGCTTTGGGACCCTTATTATGTCGTTTTTATGCTTTTGATCTCGGTCGTGGTTTAACAATTCCTCGGTTTGTTCTTTTGTTGCTGATACGCCATTATTTTTATATGAATGTGTACGTTTTAGTTTTTGTTTTACTTTTTAACTATACTACAGATTACTTTAGCATTTAGGTACTTTATTAAGCACCGAATCTATTTTTATTCCATATATTTATCATTTTTCCGTTGCAGTGAAGACCTATTATTATTATTATTATTACCATTATTAATTAAACAACAACACGATGTACTATGTGAATACATTTCTGATTTAATACATAAAATTTGAATCAAAACATAATAAATTATGTTTTAAATTATCATGTAAATTCATTGTTGTTTAAAATTCTTGGTAGAGTGTGGCGTAATTAAATGTTGTTTCCTGCGTTTCTGCTAATTCTGGTATTCATCTAGATCTTGTTGTTTTTTGCATTTTAAATTTGAAAGCATTCGACCAAAAAAAAAATACACACAACGTAGGGTTCCATTTTGTTGACGATCACAGTCCAACCTAAAATTTTGAATTATTCGCGGGTTTTAAAATTTTGTGCGCATGTCTGAATTTTGGTTGGATGTACTGTTGTATGTATAGTGAAAAATATCCACGAACATACAATACTAAATAAATCAAGCTACTAAGTTAAGAATTATATAAAAATTATCAGGTAGTATAATAAAACATTACTTAAAATAGTTGTACCTATTATTATTGTGTTTTAAATTTTGCTACCTCAAAATCTAAGTGTTGAGTGCAAGTGCACTCCTGTTCCTAGATTTCTTTTTAACATATTGTTTGCTGCAGTTTGATAAATTACAGGCTTTTCCTTGTGGCGTACACAGTTCTTAAAATTAATTAAGTAATGATTACAAAGACAAACAAAGAACATGTTCAAATATTTAGATCTACTATATCTTTCAAGTATTTTTTAATAATAATAATAAATAAAGTGTCTGTTAACAACAGACATTTTTTTAAAAAAGAGATTTTTATTATACTTTCTGGGATATAAAGACTTTAAAACTTTTAGAACCGAAAGCTAAGAAACGATAACGTAAGTACTTTCGCTATTATATTATATTTAGTATATTTAAAGTTGTCAGTTTTCCAGTTCATGAAACTTGCATCCGAACTTTCTCATTCAGAAAACATTTAAATAATACAAGAAAATGAAAAACTGGAATGCAGTAGGTATATTTTGAGAATAAAATTTTGATATTTCTGAGGCTTAAAAATAATTCTAAAATTCTCTACGGTAAAAAAATAAATTCTAGAACTCTGAAATCATATTTTATTCTTAAAACAAATGAATGTTTCAGTTCTATAAATTGTAAAATTATATTTAAGAGACAATAGAAATCACTTCATACTAATCTAATGAAATTTTATAAGATGCGGTTGCACTTTTTCTTCGAATTTTCAACTTCCCCTGAAAGCTATTCGTTATTAACAAGTTATCGGTTTTTCCTTCTCGGCCACACAGTTCTTAAAACTGGTGTCTAAACAGATTTAAAATTAAATTATTGCAAGGACAAACGAGAAACTCGCGCCAACATTTAAATATTTATGTTGACCCACAAATAGCAGCCCTACATATAACAGTTTTTACCTGAAAATATCTGTATGCTAATATTATTGAAAAATTGACGAAGCAATTTATTTAAGTCGGTGTATCACGATCAAAATATTTATTTTTAACGCTTTTCCCAAACAAACACTGTTAAAAAAGTCAATACATTATTCAAACATCAGCGACACGTCCTAATTATTGCAAAATCGCTAATTTAATACAACACATTGACACAAAAAATTCAAACAACGGAAAACTTCATTGACAATTGCACAATCAAAATTAGCGCGTTGACTTAATCAGTGTCAGCGCCACCTATCAGACACCCGTCCAACCGCCACAAGTCGGTACAAACAGAATCTATACCCTTACAATTAACCGCGCAATGCCGAACCTTTAAAACACCACAAAACCGCAAAAAATGGCCGAAACACTTCTAAATCAAGTTCTAAACCAAGAAACCCCCATTGAAGACTTCCTCGAATGGCTCACTCAACTCAGCTATCAGGTAATCATAAACAAAATATATAACATAACCTCACTTTGTAACGTCACATATAGGACCCCGAATTTATCGAACTTTCCGCAAAATATAAATGTTCCCGCACCGACTTCGTCACATATTTCCTAAACTTCATCCACGAGGAAGTAGGGAGCTTCATCACCGACAAAAATCAAGAAATTGATGACTCTACAAAGAGTAGTAACGAAATCAACAGATCCCACAGTTTCCCGCTCGATTTGAGCTCAGAGATTAACACGAGCACCCCCAAAATCACTAAAGTGAATTCTGACAGCAGCGTCTTGAACTGCATGAGCCCGATTTCTCCGATCTATAAGACGCACCATAGTTTTTCGACTCCGAAAGGTCCCAAGTCATCTCTGTGTCTTGGGGATTTTATGGTGTCGAAGAAAGTTTCTTCGAAGAAGAAAAACTCAGAATCGAAGCGACGCATTAAACCTACGAATTTGAACCATAGCAATAAGAACAACTTCCACAAGTCGGAGAATAGTTTTAATTTTAGTAACGAGCTTGATGAGTTTCCGAGCGAGCGGAATGTTCTAGTTGAAGAGAAGTTGCGGATTTTATCACGTAGTGCTATACAGGGTGTTACTGGGAGTCCTAAAAAAGTAGCGAGGTCGTTTTCCGGGGAGATTAAACCAGATGTAGAGTTGGTAAGTCACCAGAAAGAAATTGAGCTAGTGGTGCAAATTTACACCGAGCTTTTGGATAACAGTTTTGTTTTAAACTTGACGAGTGAAGTGTACTTTCTCATTTCTTTGTTGTTGAAAAAACAGCACTACAGTGTTGAATGGGGTATAGATGTTTTAAGTGATAAAGTAACGGCGCAGGTTTTATTTAATACGGTGCACAACATAGTCTATTTTGCGTGTAAATGTATTGAGAGGCAAGCACGTGTTTTACGGAATTATGACAACTCGACTATTCGTTCACTCACGGAGAACGAGCGCTTAAAATTGTTTTCTCCACAATTAATAGAGGGTTTACAAAAAGTGTCTAAACCTGACAGGATTATAGAAATTGAAACCACTCAAAACAACATTTGTTTTAATTCAGACACTGATAATCGACAGAATTTCCCCAACGATCTTTCTTTTCACGCGTTTCGTAAACAACGGGACTTGTTTTATGAGATTTTGAGGATTTGGGACGTCCATCATTTGGCGCCAGGTTTCAGTTTTAGTATCAGTTTAAGCGGGAAAATTAAAACTCTGTTAAGTCTTTCTTCAGAGCCAACGAATTTTATACATTTTGCGAGGCTGTTTAAAGCACAATTATTGAATACTTGCCGTAATACAGATAGTGACTTTATCACATCTTTAGATGTTGATGCACAAAAACTAAATAAATTAAAAAGTCGGTGTGTGACAAAAGGGAGTTGTCAGGGGTTGAATTCGCTACCAGTTTTTAATGAGGTGGAAGAATTTTATAAAGAGTTTATTCTGGTGGCTTCGAATTACGTTTTCAATAGGCATTTGGCAGATACGCTCATCGAGGAAATAACTGAGTTGAATGAGAGTAATTTTGGAAGCAATGAATTGGAAGAGGAGGATTTTTCACAAAATGATGTGGATTTTGTGACGAAGAAATCTTACTACACGTGTATAAAGAATTTAAGGACCTTGGCAAAATTTGTAGGGTTCGTGGAATCCCTTCCATATAAGAGCGAAGTCAGCAACTATTCAGAGAATTTATTAACAACGCATTTAAAAATTAGACAACAGGTGAGTTTTTTGTTGATTTATAGATAATTGTTCAGATGCAATTTAAAAAAGAAGTCACAAAACTCAAATTCACAAATTTTTTTTGAACAATTTACCGTTTTTTACCAAAACTACAGCGTGCTGAGTACTGTTTCAGTTGGCATCAATGAATTTTGATTGAAATTGGTAAACCTGCCAATCTACGTTACTTCCAGTTGTCAAAACTGACATGATTGACAGTGGCATTTAATTTACGTCAGAATTTGTTATTACTGATTGATTTATTATTATTAAGATGTCATAACCAAATTTTCTTTAGTAGGTCAAAATGACATAAAGCTAAGTATTTGAAATCAGGTTAGGCAACAGCAGCACAAGAAAAGGTTGTCAAACAGTACAGACGGTAAAACCTTTTTTTTTACTCTCCCGCTCTTTTCTCAGGGTGTATGACGTCTGCTAAAATCAGTCTTATCTGAGCAAGTAGTAGCCCACCCACCCCTTCTTCATTTCAGTGAATACTCTTAATATTGTTCAGTCCAATCTTAGCAAGTTTTAGCCCCGCCCACCCACCCCTTTTTTTTTAGTGGATGTCTTTTACCAAAATCAGTCTTATCTTAACAAATACTAGTACTACCCACCCGCCCTCTATTTTTATAAATAATATGTCGTTTGCCAAAATCAATCTTAACTTAGCGGATACTAGCTCCGCCCACACACGCTGTTCTCATTCTAACGATTTTATCGCACTTCAATTGAGATCCACCTTTCATTCGGACTAGACAAAATTAATCACTGAAATAGCGACGGGGTGGATGGGCGGGGTGAATTATACTTCGTTTGTAGAGTAAGAATGGGAACTAATAGAACGTAGGCTGTTAAAAGAAGCTTTAATCGTAATTTTTTTGTTATGCTGCTTATTTGCTATAATATTTATTTCTTATATCTGAAGAAAAAAATTGGTCTAAAGAGTTTAGACAGTACTTCCCTCGCTGTCGGAAACTTGACGACTGCATGCCTATTGTATTTTTTTCTCATTACATTTTTGTACTGGGAATTAAAAAAAAATGCGATGACGTCATCAACATTTTTGCAAGGACACGTATATCAGTTGGGATAGATGTAGTGTAATGCTAAGAATTTCTGTCGGGCTAGGCAAAGCCAAACTCGGTACGGCTCGTACGGGATGCGAATTCATTGCGGTTACGGACTGCACTTCGTTTATTTGAGATTAGAATAACGCTGTTTCGTTGCACTCTGCTGTTAATTCCCGTTCTCATTTACTTAGCCGTTTGATTAATAAATCGTTAATTATATTTATGGAATTAGTACCGATTAAATTCAGTGATTATCTATCACCCGCTATTGAGTCCCGGCGATCCAGCGCGTCCCCACCTATAATCGTGACGTAGCCCGACAGAAATCCGCTGTCTAGTAATATGAGAGGCAACTGAAAATCGTTTATGTATAAACATTCTTAATTTAAGATGACAAGCGTAACAGCATACGTGAGAGTCAAACAGAGAAACTGTAAACAAAACGACCATCGGTTTTATTGCTTCGACTTCCGCTTATTATATAAAACATTGAGTTTTATTTTAATTTTTGACGGTGGAATTCACAATTGGTTGATTATAAACATGTCTATTCCACATTCGCGGAACCTAGACAGCGCACACGTCTGTAATGTTAAAGTCGATGTAAATAAGCGTGCTACCCTTATGTTTCAACCGAGTTTTTACTTTAAAAAATTTTGTGTCTACCAAATTGGGTTGGTCCAATGTAATACTAATAATAAGTGTTGCCTTTAATTTAATCAATAAAATAAATTGACTTCATTAATTTTTTTGAGCCACCTCTTAAGAAAATCTAAAAAATATGAATGAAGTGATAAATCACAAGTACAGACTCATCATATTTTTACGCTTTAGATAGGATTTATTCGGCAAACTTTCGAGCTGACGTCATCAAATTTTTTGAGGGGGGATTAGCAAATACATTTTGATAAAAAAGTTAGCGTGCTTATGATAACTTTAATACATCTCCTATGTTTCAAAGCATTCGGTTTTGTAGTTCCTGATTAACTCAATAAAATAAATTCACGCATTCATTAATTTTTTGAGTCACTCTGTATATGCAAATCGAAAAAATTTGAATGGAATGATAAATCACAAGTACAGACTCATCATATTTTGTACATTTTAGATAGGATTTATTCAGCAAAATTTTGGGGTGTCGTCATCAATTTTTTAGGGGGGATGAGCAAATACATTTTGATACAAAATTTACCATGCTTATGATAACTTTAAAACATCTCCAAGATTTCAAAGCATTCGGTTCTGTAATTCCTGATTAAATCAATAAAATAAATTGACGCATTCATTAATTTCTTTCGGTCACCCTGTATATGCAAATCGAAAAAATTTGAATGGAATGATAAATCACAAGAAGAGACTCACCGTATTTTGTACATTTTAGATAGGATTTATTCAGCAAAATTTTGGGGTGACGTCATCAATTTTTTAGGGGGGATGAGCAAATACATTTTGATAAAAAAATTACCATGCTTATGATAACTTTAAAACATCTCCAAGATTTCAAAGCATTCGGTTCTGTAATTCCTGATTAAATCAATAAAATAAATTGACGCATTCATTAATTTTTTTGAGTCACCCTGTGTATGCAAATCGAAAAAATTTGAATGGAATGATAAATCACAACAAGAGACTCACCATATTTTGTACATTTTAGATAGGATTTATTCAGCAAAATTTTGTGGTGACGTCATAAATTTTTTAGGAGGAGACGACCAAATACATTTTGATCAAAAATTTACCATGCTTATGATAATTTTAAAACATCTTCAAGATTTCAAAGCATTCGGTTTTGTAGTTCCTGAGTAAATCAGTAAAATAAATTTTGCGCATTCATTAATTTTTTTGAGTCACCCTGTATATGCAAATCCAAAAAATATGAATGGAGTGATATATCGCAAGTACAGACGCATCATATTTTGTACATTTTAGATAGGATTTATTCGGCAAACTTTTGAGCTGACGTCATCAAGTTTTTGGAGGGGATAACCAAATATATTTTGACTAAAGATTTATGATGCTCTTTAGAGCCTTAAAACATCTGCAACATTTTAAAACATTCGGGTTAGCAGATTCAAAATTAAATTGCAAAATGTTGTTTTATGATTTTGATTTTTTTTCCAAAAATCTGGACGTTTCGGGTAAAAACTGAATTCGGAGTCGTAAACTACATGTGTAGGACTATGTTATTTTATACAATTTAAGACCCATTTACTATGTACAATTTTGAAGTGACGTCATCGCATTAGTGGTGGGGATGATTAGACAAATTTTGGTTAGCGTTTTACCATCTACATGATATTCCTAATATAAGTACAAAATTTCACAACAATCGGTCCAGTACTTTCGGAGATTATCTATCTAATAAAAATCCGGCACGGCAGACGGACAGACGGACAGACGGACGGACAGACGGACAGACAAACGGAAATGTATTTCTTCGTATTCTAGGAGTCATGAAAGATCGAGAAAGCGTAAAAGTAGAGAGTCGGCCGACGGACTCGATTACAATACTTCCTTTGCTTACGCTCGGGAAGTAAAAATAAGACAACGGATGGTTGGGCGGGGCTAAGTTTAACTTTTTCCTACAGAACCTTTTATAATCAAGCAATAGCCCCGCCCACCCACCCCCTCTTCATCCCACTGATGACTCTTAATATTGTTCAGTCATTTACCAAAATCAATCTTATTTTAACAAAAACTATCTTAGCAAATACTACACTGCACACAAAATTCTGTAAAGTAAAAGCTCAACTCGAAAATGCTGGATATGTTTCATTGTACTTTCAGTGCAAGGGAAGTTCTATCGAAACAATTTTCGACCAATTTTTTTAATGAGAAACCTTTTTAGAAATATCATGTAGATGGTTAAATACTAACCAAAATTTGGCTAATTATCCCCACCAACAATTTGATGACATCATCTCCAAAATTTCTTCTTGTATTGGCAAATGACATAACCTCTGAAAAAATAGGGGGCGGGTGGGTGGGGATAGTATTTGTTAAGACAAGATTGATTTTGGTAAAAGACATCCTCTAAGAAAAAAAGGGGTGGGTGGGCGGGGCTAAAACTTGCTAAGATTGGACTAAACAAAATTAAGAGTATTCCCTGAAATGAAGAAGGGGTGGGTGGACTACTACTTGCTCAGATGAGACTGATTTTGGCAGACGTCATACACTCTGAGAAAATATGGGCGGGTGGGCGGGGCTAGTACTTGCTCAGATAAGATTGATTTTGGCAAAAGCCATTCCCTCTGAGAAAATAGCGGGCGGGTGCATTCCGTCTGTCTGTCTGTCTATCTGTGACTGATTCTACAAAAATGGGAATTTTCAAAAGACCACCAATGATTGTCCTTATGTAACATAAAGACGTTGAAGTTTGTTTACAACAAAAGATCATACATGAATTGACACCGGCAAATGATAAATAGTTGATTAAATATGCTATTAACTTTATAGAAACATTTTTAAAACATAAAATTCTCAGTTCCCTTGTCTGTCCTCACCCTGTAAATTGACATGTGGTGTGTTATAAAATAAGTAGCATTGCTGCTAATTCAAGTATTGTGGCATATACTTAATTAATATTAATGAAAATAATTGATATTAGCATATTTGAATTGATATTTATTATTTTTTTGTTTTTGATCAACGTGAAACAAGGTCCACCGGTTTTATTTCTCAGTTCCCTGGTCGGCAATATTTAATTTTTATTACAATATCACGTTACTTTTGCGAAGATACCAATTAGACAGTTTGGACCAATTTGATGTCTATTTGGCGCGTGTTAGCGATTTAACGATAAACTTTCAATGTCCTTTATTAAATAAAGTGTTTTTCGTCAGTGAACGCGTGTGGTTTCAGTCAAATTATCAGTTTCCTGGGAAGTATTTATTTAACATTTGTCAATTTTGGAAACTTTATGTTTTT